TGTGTGTGTGTGTGTGTGTGTGTGTGTGTGTGTGTGCGTGTGCGTGTGCGTGCGCGCACGTGCGTACGTGCGAGCGTGTGTATCAAATCAAACATTTTACATGTAAAATTTTTGAATGATTGTGCTACTACCGCTACTACCACGTCCACCACGTCCACCACGTCCACCGCGATTCGCGTTGCTGCCACGTTTGTATGAATTGTATGATCCGCGGCCGCGGCCACCGCGGTGGCCGCGAGCTCTTTTGCTTTTTTCCCATCTCCTTGCTGTAACAAAAAGAGAAATTATTTAACGATTATGAGATTTATATATATATAAATATATAATATAAATATATATATATTTATTTACGCGAGCGATCAAATTGCAAATATACTTACGTCTTTCGGATTGGGGCAAATTTGAAATGGACGAAGCCGCCGGTGTTGCTGTAGCCACAGCCACAATCGTTGGAATTGCTGCAGCCACAGCCTTTCTGTCCGCAACCATACCCGCCGAAGTCGTTGTTGAAGTCGTCGCCGAAATCGTCGCCGAAGTCGTCGTCGAAGTCGTCGTTGAAGTCGTCGCCGAAGTCGTCGCCGATAATAATGATGATTGTGGTAGTGGTGGTTGTGGTAGTGTTGATTGTGGTGGTGGTGGTGGTGGTAATTTCGTAAATTGCTGCAGTTCCAAATCTTGTAATTGTTCATTCGCCTCCTGCAGAAACTGCTCGGCGGTCATAGGCTCCATCTGTAATATAAAATTAAATATTAACAGACACAGTAGTGTCTCGTACCAAGTATTAAATTTTGTTTCGATTTTGTAATACTTACTGTTATTTCCATTGGTTCTGTCCCTCCAACGACGGTAGTCTTATTCATCTTGGTAGCCAGATCGCCCAGGCTGGCTGGGATCCTCGTCGCGCACTGTCGCGCACTAGGAGACGCACGCGGGGACGCGTGTATGTACGTATGTACACGTGCACTCGCGTCGGGGAGAAAAAGAAGGAATCCCTCGTTCCTCGCGAGTCCCGATCGTGTAACGAGAACGAACGACTCGAACTCTGCGTACGCGTGCGGACTCTATTACGCGGACTTGACTGGCGTGGCCGTTCGAAGTTCGAGACGAATCTCCAGCCGAGGCGGATTCGCGGATGTCGCCGTCACGTCGGTTGATAAACAAATGACGGCGGCGACTGCAGCGGCTAAGTAATAATAGAGATTGTGTTCGGGGAGCGCGCTTTTAGCGCTAATCGTTTTTTCGAACGCACACAGAATGTGATTGGTTCTTATCTTTGGATCCAACCAATCATATTTAATTGTTACTTAGCTGCTCATCCACGGTTTATGTATTAAGTGGGGAACACAGACTTTTACATAACGCATAATGCGTAAGCATAAAAAAATTGATTGATCTATTTTTTTATGCACATGTATATGGACCAATCAATTTTCTTATGCTTACGTATTATGCGTTATGCAAAAGTCTGTGCTCCCCGCTTTATATACAATTTTTTTTCTTATACGATCGGTAACATTATCGATGATACGCGAAATGGAATTATCGACTGGGATTGTTCATGGTAATATCATGATTTATTTGGTTTATGGTGGTATAGATTTAGATAGATAGAGGCTTTATGTTAGTGAAGCGATAACCGCGGTGTTTCTTGATAAAGAAATACATAATAAAAAAGAAGTAAACGTGTATAGTAATTTGGTAAGTATTAACAATAATTTACAAGTAAAGTATTTGCTGTTTCTTTTAGCTT